GGCGCTGACGGCGCACGACCTCGCGCGGGTGATCCCCCGCCTGCGGGAGAAGCTGATCGCGAAGAACGTCGCGGTCGAGGTCGCCGAGGAGGTCTGCCGCTCCGTGCAGGCCTCGATGGAGGGCAAGCGCGTCGGGAGCTTCGAGTCCCTCCACGGCGTCGTCGAGGCCGCGATGCGGGCGGCCCTGCGGCGGATTTTGGAGCCCAAGCGGGAGGTGAACATCCTCCGCGACGTCGCGGCCGCGCGGGGACCCTACAGCATCGTCTTCTGCGGGGTCAACGGGGTGGGGAAGTCGACCTCGCTCGCGAAGATCGCCTTCTGGCTTCAGCAAAACGGCCACAACATCCTGATCGCCGCCGGGGATACCTTTCGCCATGGCGCGATCGAGCAGTTGGAGGTGCATGGGCGGTGTTTGGGCGTCCCGATCTTCCAGATGGGGTATGGGGCGGACCCCTCCGCGGTCGCCGCCGCCGCCATCGCGCAGGCCGCGCGGGAGCAGGTCGACGTCGTGATGATCGACACCGCCGGGCGGATGCAGGACCACGAGTCCCGCATGCGCGCCCTCGCAAAGCTGATTCACGATAATCAGCCCAATTTGGTGCTTTTTGTCGGCGAGGCCCTGGTGGGGAATAACGGCATTGATCAGCTGCGGAAGTTTAACCAATGCATCGTCGATTACGCGCCGGTGGGAAAGCCCAGCCGGCCGATTGACGGGATCATCCTGACGAAGTTTGATACAGTGGATGAGAAAACGGGCGCCGCACTTTCAATGGTGTACGAACTCGGCCAGCCGATTGTTTTTGTGGGGGTCGGGCAAACCTATCAGGATTTAAAAGTCCTTGAAACCGATGTGGTGGTGAACGCGCTAATGTCGTAAATGGGCTCTTGGGTGTGTCAAGTAAAAATGTGCATTCTTGATAATGTGAAGATGACTAGGTCTCTTGGATATTAAACAAGGTTCATCTCTTTTTCTTTCCCTTATCCGCTATAGTCATTGGAACTCAATTAACTGTTTTTTAGAATGGATTCTTCATCTTTCTTTTGTTGTTTGCATGCGATGATTAATCCTATATTAAGGACTATAAACCTTTACTCTTTTATCTTCAAAGAGTTTTCATTTTATTTTTTTTGCTTAAGTGAAGCTTTCTCTCAGAAATGTATCTATATATTATCTATTTTTATTAGTATTAAAATATCCTACGACCAATTGAATATTATTTCCTTAGTTTTTATACTTATTTTTCAATGTATCGTTTTTTTGCATCTCCCGCAGGCACCCCGACCGCGAGCTTCCTTCTAACCCTGCCAACGCGGTGGTGCAAGCGGTACACGGGCGATCCCCCCCACCTCCCCTCAGCCGGCAATACCGCGCGTCCGAAGGGAATTCTGGTGAACAAAGAGGAGGGAATCAGCAAGGACGCTGGTGGGTTTGGCCACTACGCGGGCTCAATTACCACTTTTATGAAGCCCGAGGCGGAAAAAAAGCGCCCTTTTAACGAAAACGACCCCCTCCCCTGCAGCGTCGCCGGCTCCCAGGCCTCTTCACAGGCGATGCAAGCGGCATTGATGGAGGAGGCGGCGATGACGGGCGTCCTTCCCTCCCCTCGCCGCGCGGCCGCAAATGCCCCGAAAGGGGGGGAAACCCCGCACGGTTTCGCGCAAACCTCCTCCAAGGCGTCTTCCCTCCCTCGACGAATCGTTCGGGAGGTAAAACGGCCACCAAAAATAATTTCAAAGGGGTTGGATGAGACTTCAACTACAAAGCCATTGAATGGGAGCTCAACCACAAAAGGGTTGGATGAGACTTCAACTACAAAGGGGTTGGATAAGAACTTCACCACAAAGCCATTGAATGAGACTTCAACTACAAAGCCATTGGATGAGAGTTCAGCCCAGAGCGAAAAAGAGCGCGAGACGGCGGCGTACTACCGCGATCTCCCGCACGATACCCCCTCGCGCGAGGAGCTTTGGCGGCGGGTCAAGCAGGCGAGTGCGGCGCGCGCGTCGGACCCGCGCGGGGGCCCCGACCCCCCCTTCGTCCTCCACGCCGAGGAGGTCGATTACCTCCGCATGGAGGAGGACCTCAAGGTCCTCGACCCCCTCCACCACACCATCGGCGAGATGGCCTACCTGGACGAAAAAACGCGGCGGAATTACTACGCGATGTGGTACTTGGCCCTCTCCCTCAACAAGGCGCGGTGGTCCGCGCTCGAGGTGCAATCCCAGCGCGGCGTCAAAAGCACCGGGGCCGGCGTGAAGTTGATGTTCTGGAAGGACGCCGTGCAGTCGATCCTCGAGCGGAGAGGAATGCTCTCCGGGCAGTTCACCGACTCCCATCCGATCTTGCGGCCGTTCGGGGCGACCGTGGCGAGCACGCCGGGCCTCACGAAGACCTTCATTCGCGGCTTCACCGACGCCCGGCTCCGCGTGTTTCTCCAGCCCGGCAACGTCAAGCAGCTCTTTGACCATTTCGACAAGTTCTACGGGTATTTCTTCTACTCCTTGTTGGAGTTCACCACGGGGAAGGACGAGAACGCGGAGCACCTCCTCCTCCACGTCGGCCGCGCGATCGGGCTCGTCCAGCATTGCGTGATGTTCTGGAAGAAATACATCCGCCTCGGGACGACGATGCTCCCGGCGGATCTCTGCGCGGATAACCACGTGAATTTGGCGCTTCTGAAGAACCTCCCGCTCGCCTCGCGCGATGGGGGGGTGCGGAAGCTCTTGTACGACGTCCTGTGCATCGCGCGGACGGAGATGCTCCACGCGCAAACCCTCGCGCCCTCGCTTTCCCCCAAAGCCTGGCCGATCTTGATGGAGGCTTGGTATCCCAACTACTACCTGAGCTTTCTCCAGCGGCGAAACTACAACGTGAGCGCGATGTTCGCGGATTACAACATCGAAAACCCCGGGCTCTCGTGGTTTCGCGTGAAGAAGCGCTGCGAGTGGGACCGCTATCAAAGCGTCGAGCGAATGCTCAGCGAGGCGGCGCCGCTGCCGTGGCTGAACTTCTCCCTTTTTCATTCCCCTTCGCGATATAAAATGTCAGAGAAGGAAAAGAAATAAACGAAAAAACATCCGAAATGGAAGGAAGGGGGAAGTATGGATCGATTTGGAAATTTCTTTGGGGGGGGGGGTATGAAGGTAAGAGAACAAAACACGCCGGGTGGTTGTTGTTGTTGTTGTTGTTTTCATTACAGCTGCTGAAGAAGAATAGACGGAATCTTTGATTTTGGTGATCAAAATCGATATTCCTCCTTTTTTATTGCACACGTCAATGCTTTTCACTGGGTGGATCTCTCGGATAACGCGGCAGAGACGAAAATCATCGTTATGAAAGAACCAGTTTCTACCTTAAACATAATAATCGCATAATAAGAGAGTAGTGTGAATAATGCGGTAAGGCTAACCCCCCTCTTGATATTCAACCTCCGATCTTCATTAGGGAACGAAGAATTTACACGCAAGGCTCTCTATCTATCTATCTATCTATCTATATATATATAGATAGATAGATAGATATGAGATAAAAATATATAGACATCATGAAAGTGGTTAGTTGTTGAAATCTTTGTATTTTAGCAATCAGTGGAAAACCAATGATGCCTTTTTGAACAGAGATGAAATACCTCGTAATGGACTGTACAACGGTAGTTTGAATTACGAATGAAGTTCTGCTTCCATGAAAAGTTAAAAATCGAACGTCGCTATCGAATTTAACCTTCCCCAACCTACATCCCCTCGTTAAAATATATATGTATTGGTCTACGGCAATATATTTCAAAGGGAAATTTACCCTGATGATTGTTTAGTGTTATGAGATATAAAATATATCTTGAAGCTTTTATTTTTTTTCTTCCTAAGGTGTCATTGAGGTGCGTATTTCCTCCTCTCTTTTTTTGCTTTGGTATATCTTACCTGCCGTTGATGTTTAACCTTCACGGATATATTTCCATTTGAAATGAAATTTTTGTGTGTGTATCTGTGTGGTGGAGAAGGGGGGGGGAAGGTGCTCTTATGATTTTTTTTTCAGCCATGGGTGATTATACATCGTTTGACACTTCCTTTTGAAAGCCCTCCAGAGGA